CACGAGCCACACATGTTTCCGGTAATCAGTGAGTATAGACCACCCACCATCATCCAGCCCTAACAAAATTGCTGGGGTTATCCTCTCCCAGCTCGCCGCTTCCCTGTGGCCCGGGGCGGCGCCGGTTATTCTCAACTCGCGGCGGTTACGTGGGCTGGCCTACTGGCGCCGATAACGCCAGGGAGGGAGGACCCCAGTTAGCTTGCCAAGTTGGGATAATAGAGAGTGGCGACAATTTGTGTTGCCTATGGCAAACTTAAGTACGACCCGTGTGGGTTCCCCCGACCCCGTGGTTGGTTTTGTCCTGAGGCGCGTTGAATCCCCGCATTTGGCCATTATTGCGCATTGTTGTCGTTGCCCTGTAAATTATTGTAGTTGCCCGGGCTTTTGCTTGAACGATGATGTCACAATTGGAGGCACCTTGGTGTCTGACAACGTCAGCATATTTGGCCAAAAGCTCAGAAGGGAAGATCCTGGACATATAGTTTACCAGTCTTGGCATAGTTTCGCCAAAGGGTAATTACGGCCTGTTTAGGAGGTGATGTTTTTGCATCGAAGGGCACAACTGTCTCTAGCACCAATTGTAATTCCTCAAAACTGATGGTTTTGTGTGTCGAAATCGCGTCAAATGCAGCACGACGATCGCGATCCGTAAGCCAAACACGATTGACAAAGCCCTTGAAGAGCTTCACAACGGCATCGCGATCTGAGTAAGGGAATTGGCCGGGGCGATTCTCCATGTACTTGAGAGTAGCTTCATCTGCATCAAGAATGACAAAAGTATGCGATGCTAATGTGAGGGTTGCTCCGATTACAAGGTCAGCAGCGGTCACCAATCTGCCGTCCGGGTGTTTGAGTTTCATTTTGGCAAGGAAATTTCCTCCAACGACGCCCGAGTTACGTCGAGGCGGTTCACGAATCATGAGAGCAAATTCATTGGAGTAATAAACGAGCACAAACAAACGTCCTCTATCCTCGGGTTTTGGATTGGCAAATGCGGCCTGAGTTGGGAACATCAGTAATTATGACCGGCAAGAAGAAAAAATGATCCACTTACTTGGTATCGAAGAACACCCTCTTCACCGCGTTGCTTTGCAGGAGCCTTCTGAACCAATGAACCCGCGCATGATGTAAGAGAGTCTTCCTCGCTCCCAAAACCAGAGTACGGTGGAGGCATGCGTTCCAGAGCCATTGGATGATCCTCAACAGGCGGGTCTAGACGCGGCCCGAGTTCGATGCCCTCCATGTAGTAGAAATCTCTGGTTGCTCTATCTGCATCAATAAGTTTAATCATCCTAGAATACGCATTTATTGTACAGCCAATATTCAAGTCCGTCCAGTGGTAGAAACCACCTGATGCTTTGGGTAGTTTAGCTCGTTTCAGTAGTAGAGGATAGCTGTCACGCCCGGAATTGGGAGAGTGGACCTAATTAGGCCAGGTGAGTCGGCTCCATAGTAAATCCATCGACGACGGTGTGCTACAGTTAAAATTTCTATCGTATTGTCGTATAGGAAGTAGTGAACCTTAAACATCTGCACGTCGCCATAAAGAGATGTCGAGTCATCCCAGAAACAGTAAAAACGGAGCACCGAAGTTCCATATTTGAGGAACCCATAACGGCCAGAGTTGTCGACAGTATTGCCGAGTGCTGCCTCGGCGAACACCTACGAATACATGAGGGATGTGGTATAGGGGAAATGGTGTATGGCTATCATACTTTCATTGGATTTTTTTGGATATTATGCGAGACTGTCGGATCTTTACCGGTCTCGCGCGACATGAGATCTCGCCTAAACGAGATATCTAGAACGTCTCATTTTGTAATGTACTTCAAACCTCTCTGTCTCATAGCGGTCGACCGGGGGCAGTCCGTTTGCGAGTGGTTCATTTCCTTTGAATTCACGCAAGAACGTTCGGGTTGAATTGTTACAGCCGTTGACATGAAAAATACGCCCGTACCTAGGAAGGAAGCTAACATGCTAGGGACAATATTGTGTGTGCGAGTTTTCTTACAGTTCGATGGAACAGCCAACATCGATGTCAATAATTGTGAAATAATCATCTTCAGACTTGGGCACGCGATGGCGCTTCATGAAGTTACCCTGTGGTACACCAGAGTTTTCCTGCTTGGGCTCAACAATTTGCATGGAGTCGTCTTCAAGGTAGTAGTAGATCTCGCATCGACGGACACGAAAATTTTCGAGGTAAGAGTCATGCACCGCTTCCATGAAGTATGCATAGAAACATAGAACCTTATTTGATCGT